ACATACATCAAAGAGAAGAATATGATTTTTGTAACAAGCTACATTGAGGGGAAATGTTGCAAATTGCTGGAAAAATAAATAGTAAACACCTGTGCTGAATAAATTAATCAGCTTGTTGTCAGTTCTTCATTTGACTCATCTAAAAGGGTGACTGTTTCAAAGCATTAATAAGACATTCACTTGGAGATATTCCTTTGTTAGCACCCTAAATAATCAGTATTAGATAATATATGATTTTTTTATGTCCCCAAATTCACAGGGTTATGTATAGATTTGGGTATTTGTTAAAAGCAATGCATTGACACAAGTGATATTCAGCAATTGTAGTTAGGAAAAATTATCTCAATATTATTGTACTGCATTGTGAATGGCCGCTGGAATTCACATTAGCATTAAAATGACGTTAGATTTGTGAAATCTATTTTGCTAGTGAAAAATTTTATAAGACCTAATGATAACAGATTGTTTTATTTATCTTTTGAGATATTATAATATTCTGGAGCTAAAGGGTTCTTTTGAAGGCTTTCAGTTTACTAATGTCATTTCATAATTGGCAAATGTGTTTTTATGGTTTTAAAATATATTTAAATTAATAAAATTTAGCTGTTTTATTTTGAAGATATCTTTGAATGTAAAATTTCCTTTTTGAGAAAATGTTTTATACTATAATATTTAGGCTTTAAATTTAGAAGACATTCCTTTTGATGAACAGAATTTTGCTTACTGAAGAATTACCTGTGATTTTTTAAAGAGTTTTTGGTGTCTTTATAACTTCTTGTTAGACATTAACCTCAAACTTGTCAGAATTCCAAAAATACTTTGTTTTTAATGGAAAGTGAGTACAATATTGTGTTTCTAATGATTTTATTTTTCATAGTGCTAGGAATTTTACCAAATTATAATGTTGAGATGAGTAAAAGTTGGTGAATATAAAACAAATTCTAAAAGAATTTTTTTTCTTTACACTTATACCCTTAATTAAGTATTTTGACTTCCATCTTTCAGATTGTCTAGCACTGGTTAATGAATTTTATTTACTCTGTAAAATACCCTTTCATGTAATGTAACAGAGCCACTGACTAGATCAGTTTCCATGGTTTCATTATCATGGTCTATAATAAGGGAACTTGCCACAGTCTGCCTTATCTTTCAAGTGTAATTAATTATCCTGTCATTCCTTATTATAATCTTTAAACTTGGAACTTTTGCTGAAAGTTGTCACCTTAGATTCCTCATGGAACCACTTAAGTTTTATTGGTTTTCAAAATAATGAAAGTGAATACAAAGCATGAACAATTTTGTAGAAAATATACAAATCACATTTCATATAATCACTCTTAATTTTTAAAGTTGTTAATGAAAGTTTATTTGGCCAAAATGATTCCATCATGTGACCACAGAAATGCAAAGTACATGTATTTTGTGTTACCCATTCACCTGAGGGCAGTTTAACAATATCCTAAATTTTATTAATATCTTATACTAGACTAACCTTTCAGAGTATATAAAATACTTCACATGTGAGTTGGCTAATTTATCTTCCAGCTCTCATGAAAGCTAAGGAAAATGGACCCATTTTATAGGTGGGTGACTCTGAGAGTTGACTTGTCTATTATCTTCTAAGTAATGCATCTAGGACTAGAACTTGGGTTCTTTCCCAATATAGATTTGTGTAGATTTGGAAAGTATTGCTGTAATACTAGTGCTGTTAATTAATTTTTCATTAGATTTTATTAATGACAATAAGTACATTTTATTTCTTGACATTTCAGTGTTATTTTATTGTTTCATTGTTCCCTTTTTGGATACTGTTTATTGTGTTAGTTTAAATAGGACACCTCAATTTTAAATGTACCCAGACTTTTGAATTTATAATCGTTTTATATTGGTCTAATTTTTGTGCTTTCTAGAAATAAGTTTGCTTCACATTTATAGATATGTAGTCTGCATGCAAAACCTAGTTTTTCATCAAGCCTTTATTAGATATGATGTCTGTAGTGCAGTAGGTGTTTTGAGGAGCACCCAGGAAAAGTTGTCATTAGTGTTCTCACTGAAGGGAATTAAAATCTAGTTCAGAAGAGAAAGCATGTACTAATTTGGTATCCTTTATCTGAGATGCTTGGTCCTGAAGTGTTTCAGATTTTTCTTTCAAATTTTTAAGTATTTGTGTAGACTTTATGGAATATTCTTAATCTGCACATCTGAAATCCAATATGCTCCAAAATTCAGAGCCTTTTGAGCATTGACATGATAACTCAGAAAGTTTTGTATCTTGGAACATTTCAGATTTTGGATTTTCAAATTAGAGGTGTTCAACCTGTGCTGGACACCAAAGGACTAGTGAACAAGAATTGAGAAATAAATGCAAAAACTGCATGTATGTATTATAGGTACATAGAGTAATAGATTGATTGAATGTGGTTATATTAAGGAAGGCTTCTTAAATGTGAGATTTAAACTCTTAGAAAAGATAAATTGTTAAAAGTATGTTTGGCAATGGGGGAATTGTGATATTATGGGGAGTACGAATAATAGACCAGAAGATTGGAATTAACAAATTGGGTATTAGAGATGCCAAGTTAGAAAATAGGTAGAGATGAAAACCGAAGAATAGTAAAGAAGGGAATTTGGTTGGGAGACAGAAAGAAGTGGTTTGGGAGGTGGGGTTTAGATTTGGTAGAAGGAATGGCTACAGTTAGTTCTTGAACAGTGAATTAGCAGGTGTTTACTTGCCAGGACCCATCAAATATAAGGCATTGAGTTAGATAATTGAGTAATAAGGCAGCTCAATGAAAATAGTGGTGTCTGTGGAGGAGTTTATGGTGCAACTGGACTTGATTGGGAGCCTGTTGTAGCCATCAAGACACTGAAGGACTGAGAATGTTAACTTTGTTAATTTTGGAAATGGGAATTTGAATAGTTTAATAGACATTACTACTGAAAGAGTATATGTCAGAAAATAATATAGAAAGTGTCTTTTAGGTTTTGCATTGAGATAGGCCAGCCTAAAATTTTTGTGACAGATTTTTTCCCAATTTACCCTCCATCATTTCAGCAGATCAAGAATTTCTCAGTAATGATCATATTTGATAATTATCACTGTTGATCATTTACTATATCCCAGGCACTGTTATAGGTTCTTTGCATATAAAATTATTTATCTTCAGAACAACCTTGAAGATATTTGGTATCATCCTTGTGGTATCAATGAATAGTTTAAAGATAATAAATATTTTTTCTAAGTATACAGTCATAACTTTTTGTTGCACCAGGGTTCAACGTCAAGTTAATTCTGAAGGACTTGCTGTGTTGATTAACTCTTAAAATACAATTCCTTTATCTGCCTTAAATTTTCAAAAATTTTACATGTGTCATTTCCTCCTTCAACCTGAAATTTTTATCTGTATTTTTAAATTATTTTTTTATTGGTTGTTCAAAACATTACAAAGCTCATGACATATCATCTTCCATACATTTAATTCAAGTGGGTCATGAACTCCCATTATTTACTCCAAATACAAGTTGCAGAATCACATCGGT